CTGAGCCTTGAGCAACCTGCTCTGGTGGGAGGTGTCCCTGCCCAGGGCAGGGGTTGGGGCTGGATCATCTCTAATGTCCATTCCAACCCCTAAAATCCTATGATTTTTCTCCCACACCTCTCTCCACGCTCCAGGGCAGGATGCTCCATACCAAGTGGCCCCAGTCAGCCTCGGTGGGAGCAGTGCAGGGTGTTTCACCCTCGGTGGAAGCAGAAGGAAGCCCCGAGAAATGGGAGTTTACTCGTTAAACTGCAGAGGAACAGCAATTTCGCATCGTTCTGAGGAGAGGTATTAAAACTCCTCCTGAGCCTCGAGAGTAACCAGTAACGCAGGAAACAGTAACGCAGCAAACGATTGAACAGTTAGACAGCAAACAGTCGAACAGTAACACAGCCCACAGCTACAGGGTTTTGTGGTTTATTTCAGTCCCATTACAATGAACAGCAGCGGCAGGACAGAGAGCAGTGAGCCCCTCACCCGTGCTGGTGGCCCAGGAGAGGCCACCGGGTCATGAACCACCCCCAACCCAAAAAAGTCACCACACACACTACATTTACAAACAGTTACCCGAAATAAAGCTACTCTCCCCTTAGGTAGGGATTGAAAAAAGAAAGGGAATCATTGCTTTTGTCTCCCTTTAAAGGGTGACTTCGTTGTTTTCAAGGCTGTGACGATCCTGGGAATCCTCAGCGCTCTCCAGTGTTTGGTTGCTGGTATCATCAGAGATCTCAGACGAAGCCTGGTCCTGGCTCTCCCTGCTTTCCACACTGGGGTGACTATCCCCTCGGACACCAGACTTGCTGTCAGCACTGTCTGCCTCATGGCTCTCGAATTTCTGCCTGCTGTCGTTTTCCAGGCTCTGGTCACGCTGGTTGCTGTCCAGGTCGCTGCTGTCCTGCCCGTGGCTCTTGTCAGACCATTCCATACTGCTGGCATGTTTCCCCAGGGAGCTGTGGGAGGCAGAATCCTCCTGGGAGAGCCCTGTTTGCTGGCTGTCTGCATCCAGGTCACTCTCATCTTCCTCAGTGGCATCATACATGAGCTGTGTTAGACAGCAGAACAAGAAAGAGCCATTGACACTCGTGAGGAGCTGATCCATCGGCAAGTGCTGCTGTACTGCACTAAAACAGGCTGCTCAGGCTGTGGGGACACGCAAAGCCTGCATGATATAGCTCTGCCTGGAGACACTGTGCTCTTTTATGGAGTTCTACAAACTTCCACCTCGTGAGAAACTCATGTTTGATCCTGGCCTTAGATTTCATGTGTGCAAGTATATCATGATAGTGCAAATTGCAGCACTGTGCAGCTTGCAGGCTACACTCCTGTCCTGGTGCATCAGCAGCCATCAACACCCCCTGATTTGGAGGATCCAGAGAGAGGAAACACATTCCTTCACTTATACTTGCTTTCCCCTCACCAATTCTTTTCAAAAGTGACTCCCATAAAATGACATTTTCAGATTCACTCCCCATTTCCAAAATCATGGATACTCTGCTCAGGGCTATTTACCTTTTTTGCAGCCTTGTGGAGTTTGATAGCCTTCACCAGTGCAGCTTTTGCCTTCAACCTGTAGGCCACACTGTCACCTCTGCCAGCATTGTCTCCCCGGGTGAAAGGTACAGTGACTGGGATGTCTGTGGGAAAACCTGTGACAACCTCATCGGATTCATCTGTGTCATTGGAATCATTATCATCGTCGTTGTCATCATCCACATCTTCATGGCTCTTGCTTGACACATCAGGGAATTGCTGGAAAAGATTTATTATGCATCAGGCAAATGGACAGAGAGGTGAGATGTGCAGATTGGTTTCTGTCCTGCTCTCCCAGGGCTTATGCACTGTTGAGGAGCTCTGTGCAGACATTGCTCTGAATTCCCCTCACTCTGCCTGAGGTTTATTTAGGGAGAGATGGTTACAGCAAGAACCACATTAGACTGAGGAGAGTGAGTGCAGCTACTCACTGGCTGCTCTGCAGCACTCAACTGGCATTTTGTCCTTCAAAACACTTACTGGTTGTGCTGGGTCATCCACGCTTTCTTCTGAAGAGTAGAGAGTCTGAAAGCAAAAGACTCACTATTAGTACACAGAGGCACGTAAAGCAGAGCTGAGCAGCACGTTGTCTATTCTTGAAGCACTTAATCCTAACTTGCAAATTTTGGCATTGAAAGACGCTTTGCTCTCTCTTCCAGTTAGGTGCCCATACCTGCTGAGGTGACGCCAGGTCATCCTGTGAGTGCTGCTGACTCTCCCAAGACTGAGAATTCACATGGTCGTGGTGGTATCTGTGCAACTTATGGCCCCTGGAGTCCTTCAAGAGGAGATAAAAGGTGGAAGGGTTATTCCACAAAGGAGCAGGCAAAGCTGCCTGTGTCCCAACCTCTGTTTCCAGACAAATGTGGTATCTCCAACACATGCTCCTTCTGCATGGGATGGGTCCTCAGCTATTCATTGCAGTAGGAAGAGGACTCAGAACAAGTCATGATCCCAGATGAACATCATACCCAAACAACATGATACACAAGATGTGCTCTTCCCCTGGCAGAGCCTGGGGAATTTCAGATCAGTTTCTCCAGCTTAACTGAGTGAAGTTTGGAGTTATAGTGATCAACCATTGTTTCTACTAATTCTCAGGCCCTTTTCCCAAAAGGGATTTATCTCTGTCATCATGAAGGCTCTAAACTAAACGCAGTAGCTGCTTCTCAGGTCAAAGGATTGATTTTTTGTGGGTACAAATCAAATACACAGTTCACTTACATCACTCCAAAAGATCATGGGGACTGGAATAAAGTACACCAAGTATTGTCATCTGATCCACACTAACCAATGTGGGTTATAGCAGATGTGCCATGCCATAGTCCTTTTCTCCTTTTAACTGAGAGCTAACACATTTTTCATTAAGAAGTAAGGTTTCCAGTGCTGGTCCAGAGATAGAGCTAATGAAAGGTCACAACCAGGACACCTGACACAGCACAGAGTCTACAGACATCAGTGGCTCTCTGCTTCAAAATTGGCCCATAACAGCCAGGTGAGGATGTGTTTTGCAAGCAGATAGAGCCATAAAACTCGTGCCAGAAAATGTGTATTACAGGAAGCAAAAAAACCACCAAGAAGTGTTTATTAAAGAAAACGAATAGAAAGACAAGAGGGCCTTACATATTTCTCTTCGGAGCTGGCAGAAGTGGCATGCTGCTTGAATTTTCTCACCTTGAAGTGACAGGAGAGACAAAGCATTTATCAGTATATCTCTCTAACATGCAAAGAAGATAATGCAAGTGATGGGTGAGATATGTTTGTGGTTTACTCACTGGCCATGCTGTGGTGATGCTGATAAGGCACAAACACAGAACTGCCACCTTCATTGTGATGTTTTACCTGGAAAATAGTTTGGAACAGTGAGTCAACAAGGTAAAATACCACACAAATACTACAGGATTTTCCTTTTTGCTGGGGTGCTTCACTATGCCAAATGAGCTCCCTGCTGTGGATTCAACCTGCCCATGCTAATTGTTTTCCTCTGTCCTCCATCAGCACCTCACACCAGCTGGTTTGCAATGACTTACCAACTCCAAAGCTACAAGAATGTTAAAAGCAGTTACTGGGAAGAGCTGAGCAGTGGTGAGAGGAGCCACACTGAGGAGGAGAACTTCCAGGGAGGTGATTCTGCCCCTGGACTCGGCACTGGTGAGGCCACACCTTGAATCCTGTGCTCAGCTCTGGGCTCCTCAGCTCAGGAGGGACATTGAGGGGCTGGAGCAGGTCCAGAGAAGAGCAACGAGGCTGGTGAAGGGACTGGAGCACAAGTGCCATGAGGAGAGGCTGAGGGAGCTGGGGGTGTTCAGCCTGGAGAAGAGGAGGCTCAGGGGAGACCTTCTCACCCTCTGCAACTCCCTGACAGGAGGTTGGAGTCAGGTGGGGGTTGGTCTCTTCTCCCAGGCAACCAGCAGCAGGACAAGAGGGCACAAACTCTACCAGGGGAGGTTTAGGCTGGATATTAGGAAGAGATTTTTTTATGGAGAGAGTGCTCAGGCATTGGAATGTGCTGCCCAGGGAGGTGATGGATTCCCCATCCCTGGAGGTTTTCAAGCTGAGACTGGATGTGGCACTTAGTGCCATGGTCTAGTGACCATGGTAGGGTTGGACTTGATGATCTTGGAGGTCTCTTCCAACCAAGTTGATTCTATGAGTTTATCACTCCTGTCATCTACTGGCTTGCACAGGTAAAAAAAAATCTTTGGGAAAAACAAAGTGTTATCACTATTAGCTTTGCTGTATCTTCATTCTTTTAACATCATTTTTGTTTTTCAGAAGATACAAAATAAGACAAAGTCCACTTGGATTCTCTTGCCAGCTGTTTTAAAACTAGTTTTCAGGGTTATTGAGTGGCTGAGCAAAGTCAGTTTGTATGAACACAAATGGTTTTATTGATAAACCTTTATTTCCCTCTCTAGAAGTCTGAATAAAAGAACCTGTTTTAAAACAAGAGATGAAGGAAAATAGCTGCCCCCATTTCAGTTTTAACAATTTAACAAATGATTCC